GATTGAAGGGAAAAAAGGTGAGTGGTGCGCTGGAGGTAATTGTGAGTCAAAAAACGTTATCTATGGAGCAAAGAAGGAATGATGAAAGTATAGTAATAACCAACACTCTTATAGGATGTGAAGCTTGGGTGGTAAAAATGCAGCAGCGAGGAGACGGTTGAGGCAGTGGAGATGTCGCTGTCTAAGGGCAATGTGGTGGTGTAAATATTATGCAGAAAAGTCGGAATGTGGAAATTAGGAGAAGGTGTGGAGTTAATAAAAGTATTATCCCAGAGGGCAGAAGAGGGGTGTGTTGAGGTGGTTTGGTCATTTAGGAGAGAATGGATCAAAGTAGAATGACATTGGAAAGCATATAAATCTATAGGGGAAGGAAGGAGGGGTTAGGGTCGTCCTCGAAAGGGTTGGAAAGAGGGGGTAAAGTTTTTGTGGGGGAGGGGGCTTTGGACTCCCAGCAAGCGTGCATGAGCGAGTTAGATAGGAGTGAAATGGAGACGAATTATACTGTGACCTGACGATCTGTTTGGATGTGAGCATGGTAATATTAGTGAAGGTATTCAGGGAAACCGGTTATTTTCATATAGTCGTACTTGAGTCCTGTGAAATGGGAAGTACAATGCCTGGCAACTTTAAAGAGAGGTGTTCGGGAAGAAATTGGCAGTTTCTGGAGGGATATGTATGTGTAACTTATGCGTACATGTAATGCTTCTAAACTGGGGGTTGTATTCTGAGCACCTCTGCAAAAGCAGTGGATGTGTGAGTGCGGTGAAAGTGTGAATGATGAATGAAAGTAAATTTTCTTTTTTTTGGGATTTTCTTTCTTTTTTGGTCACACCTGCCTCTGGGAGGCGGCCGACTCGTTTGAAAAAAAAAAAAAATATATATATATATAGGTAGTAGTTGTAGACAGCAACCACCCAGGGAATGTTACTACCGTCCTGCCAGATGACTGTGGAAACAAAAACCTGTAACAGTTTTGCATGATGTTAGGATATGCTGGTTTCTTTTTTCTGTCCTCATAAACACGCTAGATAACAGGATATCTTGCTACTCCTACTTACACTTTGGTCACACTTCACAGACACGCACTGCATATATAATACTAAATCTAGGTTTTTCTCCTGTTTTCTAAATAGCTTCTTGTTCTTCTTTATTCTTCTATTGTCCCATGGGGAAGTGGAAAAGAATCTTTCCTCCGTAAGCCATGCGTGTCGTATGAGGCGACTAAAATGCCGGGAGCAATGGGCTAGTAACCCCTTCTCCTGTAGACATTTACTAAAAAAGAGAAGAAAAACTTTATAAAACTAGGATGCTTAAATGTGCGTGGATGTAGTGCGGATGACAAGAAACAGATGATTGCTGATGTTATGAATGAAAAGAAGTTGGATGTCCTGGCCCTAAGCGAAACAAAGCTGAAGGGGGTAGGAGTGTTTCAGTGGGGGGAAATAAATGGAATTAAATCTGGAGTATCTGAGAGAGTTAGAGCAAAGGAAGGGGTAGCAGTAATGTTAAATGATCAGTTATGGAAGGAGAAAAGAGAATATGAATGTGTAAATTCAAGAATTATGTGGATTAAAGTAAAGTTGGATGCGAGAAGTGGGTCATAATAAGCGTGTATGCACCTGGAGAAGAGAGGAATGCAGAGGAGAAGGAGAGATTTTGGGGAGATGTTAAGTGAATGTATAGAAGCCTTTGAACCAAGTGAGAGAGTAATTGTGGTAGGGGACCTGAATGCTAAAGTAGGAGAAACTTTTAGAAGGGTGTGGTAGGTAAGTTTGGGGTCCCAGGTGTAAATGATAATGGGAGCCCTTTGATTGAACTTTGTATAGAAAGGGGTTTAGTTATAGGTAATACATATTTTAAGAAAAAGAGGATAAATAAGAAATACAAGATATGATGTAGGGCGAAATGACAGTAGTTTGTTGGATTATGTATTGGTAGATAAAAGACTGTTGAGTAGACTTCAGGATGTACATGTTTATAGAGGGGCCACAGATATATCAGATCACTTTCTAGTTGTAGCTACACTGAGAGTAAAAGGTAGATGGGATACAAGGAGAATAGAAGCATCAGGGAAGAGAGAGGTGAAGGTTTATAAACTAAAAGAGGAGGCAGTTAGGTTAAGATATAAACAGCTATTGGAGGATAGATGGGCTAATGAGAGCATAGGCAATGGGGTCGAAGAGGTATGGGGTAGGTTTAAAAATGTAGTGTTAGAGTGTTCAGCAGAAGTTTGTGGTTACAGGAAAGTGGGTGCAGGAGGAAGAGGAGCGATTGGTGGAATGATGATGTAAAGAAAGTAGTAAGGGAGAAAAAGTTAGCATATGAGAAGTTTTTACAAAGTAGAAGTGATGCAAGGAGGGAAGAGTATATGGAGAAAAAGAGAGAGGTTAAGAGAGTGGTGAAGCAATGTAAAAAGAGAGCAAATGAGAGAGTGGGTGAGATGTTATCAACAAATTTTGTTGAAAATAAGAAAAAGTTTTGGAGTGAGATTAACAAGTTAAGAAAGCCTAGAGAACAAATGGATTTGTCATTTAAAAATAGGAGAGGAGAGTTATTAAATGGAGATTTAGAGGTATTGGGAAGATGGAGGGAATATTTTGAGGAATTGTTAAATGTTGATGAAGATAGGGAAGCTGTGATTTCGTGTATAGGCAAGGAGGAATAACATCTTGTAGGAGTGAGGAAGAGCCAGTTGTGAGTGTGGGGGAAGTTCGTGAGGCAGTAGGTAAAATGAAAGGGGGTAAGGCAGCCGGATTGATGGGATAAAGATAGAAATGTTAAAAGCAGGTGGGGATATAGTTTTGGAGTGGTTGGTGCAATTATTTAATAAATGTATGGAAGAGGGTAAGGTACCTAGGGATTGGCAGAGAGCATGCATAGTTCCTTTGTTATAAAGGCAAAGGGGATAAAAGAGAGTGCAAAAAATTATAGGGGGATAAGTCTGTTGAGTATACCTGGTAAAGTGTATGGTAGAGTTATAATTGAAAGAATTAAGAGTAAGACGGAGAATAGGATAGCAGATGAACAAGGAGGCTTTAGGAAAGGTAGGGGGTGTGTGGACCAGGTGTTTACAGTGAAACATATAAGTGAACAGTATTTAGATAAGGCTAAAGAGGTCTTTGTGGCATTTATGGATTTGGAAAAGGCGTATGACAGGGTGGATAGGGGGGCAATGTGGTAGATGTTGCAAGTGTATGGTGTAGGAGGTAGGTTACTGAAAGCAGTGAAGAGTTTTTACGAGGATAGTGAGGCTCAAGTTAGAGTATGTAGGAAAGAGGGAAATTTTTTCCCAGTAAAAGTAGGTCTTAGACAAGGATGTGTGATGTCACCGTGGTTGTTTAATATATTTATAGAGAAGTAAATGCGAGGGTCTTGGCAAGAGGCGTGGAGTTAAAAGATAAAGAATCACACACAAAGTGGAGTTTGTCACAGCTGCTCTTTGCTGATGACACTGTGCTCTTGGGAGATTCTGAAGAGAAGTTGCAGAGATTGGTGGATGAATTTGGTAGGGTGTGCAAAAGAAGAAAATTAAAGGTGAATACAGGAAAGAGTAAGGTTATGAGGATAACAAAAAGATTAGGTGATGAAAGATTGGATATCAGATTGGAGGGAGAGAGTATGGAGGAGGTGAACGTATTCAGATATTTGGGAGTGGACGTGTCAGCAGATGGGTCTATGAAAGATGAGGTGAATCATAGAATTGATGAGGGAAAAAGAGTGAGTGGTGCACTTAGGAGTCTATAGAGACAAAGATCTTTGTCCTTGGAGGCAAAGAGGGGAATGTATGAGAGTATAGTTTTACCAACGCTCTTATATGGGTGTGAAGCGTGGGTGATGAATGTTGCAGCGAGGAGAAGGCTGGAGGCAGTGGAGATGTCATGTCTGAGGGCAATGTGTGGTGTGAATATAATGCAGAGAATTCGTAGTTTGGAAGTTAGGAGGAGGTGCGGGATTACCAAAACTGTTGTCCAGAGGGCTGAGGAAGGGTTGTTGAGGTGGTTCGGACATGTAGAGAGAATGGAGCGAAACAGAATGACTTCAAGAGTGTATCAGTCTGTAGTGGAAGGAAGGCGGGGTAGGGGTCGGCCTAGGAAAGGTTGGAGGGAGGGGGTAAAGGAGGTTTTGTGTGCGAGGGGCTTGGACTTCCAGCAGGCATGCGTGAGCGTGTTTGATAGGAGTGAATGGAGACAAATGGTTTTTAATACTTGACGTGCTGTTGGAGTGTGAGCAAAGTAACATTTATGAAGGGATTCAGGGAAACCGGCAGGCCGGACTTGACTCCTGGAGATGGGAAGTACAGTGCCTGTACTCTGAAGGAGGGGTGTTAATGTTGCAGTTTAAAAACTGCAGTGTAAAGCACCCTTCTGGCAAGACAGTGATGGAGTGAATGATGGTGAAAGTTTTTCTTTTTCGGGCCACCCTGCCTTGGTGGGAATCGACCAGTGTGATAATAAAATAAAAAATATATATATATATATATATATATATATATATATATATATATATATATATATATATATATATATATATATATATATATATATAAACAATAAGATCACAGTAAACAGGTGATTTGAAAATATGCAAAACAACCACTGTGAAAGAGTAGTGAAATTCCAAGCGCGTTCGTGACTACTCACATTGTCCTTGACAATGTGAGTAGTCCCGTCTTTAAAAATTCCTACGTTTTTTTGTTTTAATGATGGCTGTAACACTTCCAGCTTCCTGTTTTAAGTCGTCCCATAAGTCTTCCTATGTGTTAGTTCAGGTTTCAATGTCTCTCTTGTCCGTTTCATTTATTTACAACTCTAAAATTGTAAGTGTTTCTTGATGTCTGAGCCAACTGGGTAACCACTTTTACCTATCTCACTCCCTCATGGTAAAAAGTCTTGAGTTTGTCCGCCTTCTCTACTTCAATATTTTATATAACCTGATCATATCTCCTCAGTTCTTTAAGTTCCAGTTCGCTTAATCTTTCTTTATAATGTTTGTTGACGTACCTGTTGTGGGTTTGGGTATGAGGTAAGAGTCAGCAGTGGGGTCGTCGTACTGGTAATACCCACTGCTCAGACCTGCCCCGGCCACCACGTTGCCTGTACATTCCTGCAAACACAGAACAAAATTTAACCTAACAGAGCCAAACACATCAATATGACTTATTATCCTAGGATGTGAGCCACACAAAAGTCGACTCACTCCTAGGTATCTATTTACTGCAAAGTTGTAAAGTGAACATGAGCAGCAGGTGTAAGACTTGGTCATTTTTTTTTTCAACCAGAAATTTAACTTTGATCCTTTCGGTTGTGAGCCAGACACTCTACGACTGAATTATATAGCAAGATGATTGAGTGGACTACGACATTATGAAAGTGATAGGCTGCCCAGTCAGCCGTACGAGTTGGACGCATTTTCTGAACATAATTATCACTGAACTACAGGCAACACGCACATACACTCACTGGACCTCTGCGTCCACTCACAGGTGAGCGTGCACGCACGCACACACGTGTGCGCGTGTTATGTGTTGATGTATACTTTTTATTTACGTATTGATCAGTACATAATTAAAGTAGTATTTATTACGTTATTATTCTTAGAACACAGTACGAGATGAAACTGGCACAGTGCTTATTTACTGTGTTGTTGTTATAGTGGATAATGCAACACTTTGAAGGCAATATTTATTTAAAATATTATATACAAATACCCCGCTTGTAGGAGACGAACTTACGACGACGTTTCGGTTGTCTGGAGTTTGTCTCCTTCGTGCGGGTTATTTGTGTATTCCAGTCATAGTATTGTAATTGTTTTATCCTATATGAGTATTATATAAATGATATCAGAGCCCACTGCGGAAGCAATGGCCCCTGAAACTAACTCAATTATATTCACCGCTGTTCTTCTATCCTAGAACACCTTCCTCCCTCTCGGAACTAGCAGTTCTGAGGACTTACCTGAGGAGTGGCGCACGGGGTGCACACGTCCTCTGATGGGTCGGCTACGTCGTCGAACGCGTACCCGGGGAGTCCAAGATCAGATAATATGTCGGTATTACCTAGTTCGATCCAGGTGGAATGTGAGTAGAACTTCTGAATGGAGTGAAGGGAGAGGCCGAGGAGGGAGCGTGAAGCGGTGTAAGCCTCGTCCACCATGATGGAGGTCAAGATCTGTGGGTATCTGTTCGACAGCGTCTTCTGCAGCTCTGATAGCTCCTCCGCGTCACCTTGGATGTTTGGGTCGTGTCTGCAGGAAACAGTGATTCGTTCTAATATTAGGAGCTAAAAAAGCAATGGGAGACAATACGTAATGATTACAGAAATCACACAGACACAAGCAACCAGTTTAAAAATAAAAAATGACCTGGGCAGAAATAAGACGCAGAGGACATCGCCTGGTGTTTATGACTTGAATCTATGCACAATCAGTCAATATGTTAACATGAAAATCCACGTTACCAATCAGGGCAGGCACCTGAGCTGAGTGGCGGAGTCCGCATTGACGTTGGAGGCAGCGATGGAGTTGACAGCCTTAATGAAGCGGGCAGGAGAGGCTGAGGCGCCATAGTAAGCAGAGTAGAGCTGCGTCAGTGTGGCCGTCGACGGGACATTGAAGTCTGGCTTCGATGGTGGAGGGTTGTCCAAGAAGAACTGACGAAGGTTGCGACGGATTGCCTCCCGGGTGATCCACTTGTGGTCCCGGGTCTCGCCTACGGTCTGGGTAGGAAGAGAGACAGGTCACATAGGTTAGATCTATGGTCTGGGGACAGGGACCAGTCTGTACAACGGATCACTATACTCTCCAGTCTCGTCTGAGGTCGAACCTCCGTCTTTGCTACGCATGATCTTGGGAGGAAAGGGGTCATACTTGTCAAGCTTAAAGTCTTGGAGGTTATATTTACGGTCTGGGAAAACCATATTCATGGTCTGGGAAAAACCATATTCATGGTCTGGGGAAAACATATTCACGGTCTGGGGAAAACCATATTCATGGTCTGGGAAAACCATATTCATGGTCTGGGAAAACCATATTCATGGTCTGGGAAAACCATATTCATGGTCTGGGAAAACCATATTCATGGTCTGGGAAAACCATATTCATGGTCTGGGAAAACCATATTCATGGTCTGGGAAGGTTTAGATAATTTTACTCTTCAAGCTTAGAGAGTAAAATTACATGAATTCAGTTAGACTCATTTAGTGAGTGTTGTGACCGGTGCTTGAGACTGACCTGATCCGGGCAGAGGATGTAGGCGACGTCGGGGTCGGAAGCATTCAGCGGAGTGGCCAGGAAGGCTGTAGTTGTCCCCAGGAAGGCTACCACAAGCACCAGAACAAGGCCCTGCTGGGCCATATTGCAGCTGTGGTGTTGCACCCTACCACAGATTCTGTCAACCAAAACTGGCTATACGGGTAACCTGTGTCTCGAGACTACCGCTGAATCTAAATACAGTTATAATAAGTCTCAATTCGTCCCTTTTGCGCTGTAAGACTAGAGCCGCCGGTGTTGTTCTGGGAAGAGAGCTCCCTCAGGATGATGAAGAGAGAGTGAGAAGGTTCGACTTGCGCCGAGAGATGAGATGGATGAAGTGCAGTATACGTGTGAGAATCACTTTTTATACGTTTGGTGTTAGCATAAGAATCAGCAGACGCAGAGAGAGGGAAGGGAGGGAGAGGATAAAGAATGCAGGTGGAGGGGGGAGGGGATCAAGGTGGAGGGGAGGGAAAGGCGAGGGAGGGGGAAACAGCAGGTGAAGGGGGGAGGGAGGGAGAGAGCGGGTTGAGTGATAAAAGGTAAAAAGGTTGATGATATATCTTATTTGTTGCACCTGTAAACTCCCAGCAGTCTACAAGTGCCAAGTTGTGCAGCTATCACTGGCACCATTGCGCCACACTGTTGCCATGTAGGCTACCAGGTTACCAGGTTGTCGTCCTTTGAGTCAACAGGTCACCAGGTAGTCGTTCTCTGGGTCAACAGGTCACCTAGGACTCAATCAGTGGCTCCTGTCGAGAATTAACCTTCCATTCTGTAAGACTAGGTGTTAAGGAACGCTTACAAGTTGTAGTTGATAGACACAAGCAGCAATGAGAAACCATAGGCAAAGCAACGTATCGCCTGTGCAACAGGCTTTACCAAATCCGACTTGATAAAGCCTGCTGCACAGGCGAAACGTTTAAAAAGATTCTAATTTCTGCTTACATGTCTTTATCAAGTACAGCTCAATTCTGTATAATGGAAGCAAGTTTTGTCATTATATAAAACTTGTGAAAAATACTTTTATCATTAGCTAATGTGTCACCGTAGTACAGCTGGAGGTTGCCACCTGGAGGAAGCTGGTACGAGCACACATTATGTTTCGCAGACTTAAATTGTCACTGTCACAAGTGTGAAATTTCAATTACCATAATCTATCTTTTACATATAGTTATTTGAATATTTCAATTTCTGTCTGTTTGTCTTTTTAATCACTAGTTTTTGCAAGAAATTTCTTATAACAAATAGCATGAACCACAGAAATATTCATGAACCACTGATCTTTGCGGGGCCAGTGGTTCATAAATATTTCTGTTGCCAAACTTGAGTATTTCCTATATCCTTTCCAAATGTCTTTTTTATTAACTCTGGCTGTCTCCCACAGAGGCAGGGTGACTCGAAAATTAAACACTTTCACCGTCATTCACACTATCACGATCTTGTTAGAGGCGCGCAGATATGATAGTTTAGATGTCACTCTAAACAGCAAATATCCCAAACCCCTCCAAATAAAATTCAATCAATGTTTTGAGTTCTTTCTTGGTTAGATATCCTTATCAACCTACATACACACACACACACACTGCTGATCAAAAACCGATGGAATTTTGATGAGCAGGAGAGAGAAGACAAGGCAGAAGCAAGCGATTGCATAGCAGGAACGCTTCACTCTGGAGGTCCCAAAGTGGTAATTGCAGTGATGTACAACCCACCACAGGCAAGAGTATGACGAGAGCAATAGAGCGATGGTTGACACACTGGCTACAGTGGCCAGAAGAGCTCATGCATGCAGGGCAAAGCTCCTGATCATGGGCGACTTTAACCACAAGGAAATCGATTGGGAGAACTTGAAGCCACATGGAGGCCAAGATACATGGAGGGCTAAGATAATGGAGGTGGTACTGGAAAACTTCATGTAACAACACGTAAGGGACACTACAAGAGAGAGAGGAGAGGATGAACCAGCATGACTGGACCTAGTATTCACCTTGAGTAGTGCAGATGTTGAGGACATTACATACGAAAGACCCCTCGGGGCCAGCGATCATGTGGTTTTAAGCTTCGAATACACAGTAGAGCTACAAGTGGAGGGGGAAGCAGGAAGGCCAGGACGAATGAAGTCAAACAACAAGAAAGGGGACTACACGGGAATGAGGAACTTCCTTAACGGGGTTCAGTGGGACAGAGAACTGGCAGGGAAGCCAGTTAATGAGATGATGGAATATGTAACAACCATGTGCAAGAAGGCTGAGGAGAGGTTTGTACCCAAGGGTAACAGGAATAATGAAAAAGCAAGGATGACCCCATGGTTCACCCAAAGGTGCAGGTAGGCAAAAACCAGGTGTGCTAGGGAATGGAAGAAATGTAGAAGGCAAAGGACCCAGGAGAATAAGAACAGTCGTAGAGCCAGAAATGAATATGCACAGATAAGAAGGGAGGCCCAACGACAATCTGAAAACGGCATAGCAGCGAAAGCCAAATCTGACCCGAAGCTGTTATACAGCCACATCAGGAGGAAAATAACAGTCAAGGACCAGGTAATCAGGCTAAGGAAGGAAGGAGGACAGACAACAAGAAATGACCGTGAAGTATGTGAAGAACTCAACAAGAGATTCAAAGAAGTGTTCACAGAGGAGACAGAAGGGGCTCCAGAAAGACGGAGAGGTGGGGTACACCACCAAGTGCTGGACACAGTACACACAACCGAGGAAGAAGTGAAGAGGCTTCTGAGTGAGCTAGATACCTCAAAGGCAATGGGGCCGGATAACATCTCTCCATGGGTCCTGAGAGAGGGAGCAGAGGCGCTATGTGTACCCCTAACAACAATATTCAATACATCTATCGAAACAGGGAGATTGCCTGAGGCATGGAAGACAGCAAATGTAGTCCCAATCTTTAAAAAAAGGAGACAGACATGAAGCACTAAACTACAGACCAGAGTCACTGACATGTATAGTATGCAAAATCATGGAGATTATCAGAAGAGTGGTGGAACACCTAGAAAGGAATGATCTCATCAACAGCAGCCAACATGGTTTCAGGGACGGGAAATCCTGTGTCACAAACCTACTGGAGTTCTATGACATAGTGACAGCAGTAAGACAAGAGAGAGAGGGGTGGATGGATTGCATTTTCTTGGACTGCAAGAAGGCGTTTGGCACAGTTCCACACAAGAGATTAGTGCAAAAACTGGAGGACCAAGCAGGGACAACAGGAAAGGCACTACAATGGATCAGGGAATACTTGTCAGGAACACAGCAACGAGTCATGGTACGTGGCGAGGTGTCAGAGTTGGCACCTGTGACCAGCGGGGTCCCACAGGGGTCAGTCCTAGGACCAGTGCTGTTTCTGGGATTTGTGAACGACATGACGGAAAGAATAGACTCCGAAGTGTCCCCTGTTTGCAGATGACGTGAAGTTGATGAGAAGAAATCATTCGATCGAAGACCAGGCAGAACTACAAAGGGATCTGGACAGGCTGCACATCTGGTCCAGCAATTCGTTCCTGGAGTTCAACCCCACCAAGCGCAAAGTCATAAAGATTGGGGAAGGGCAAGGAGGACCGCAGACGGAATACAGTCTAGGGGGCCAGAGACTACAAACCTCACTCAAGGGAAAAGATCTTGGGGTGAGTGTAATACCAGGCACATCTCCTGAAGCGCACATCAACCAAATAACTGCTTCAGCATATGGGCGCCTAGCAAACCTCAGAACAGCATTCCGACATCTTAATAAGGAATCGTTCAGGACCCTGTACGCCGTGTACGTTAGGTCCATATTGGAGTATGCGGCACCAGTCTGGTACCCACACCTAGCCAAACACGTAAAGAAACTAGAGAAAGTGTAAAGGTTTGCAACAAGACTAGTCCCAGAGCTAAGAGGTATGTCCTACGAGGAGAGGTTAAGGGAAATCAACCTGACGACACTAGAGGACAGGAGAGATAGGGGGAACATGATAACGACATACAAAATACTGAGAGGAATTGACAAGGTGGACAAAGACAGGATGTTCCAGAGATGGGACACAACAACAAGGGGACACAGTTGGAAGTTGAAGACACAGATGAATCACAGGGATGTTAGGAAGTACTTCTTCAGCCACAGAGTAGTCAGGAAGCGGAATAGTTTGGGAAGCGATGTAGTGGAGGCAGGATCCATACATAGCTTTAAGCAGAGGTATGATAAAGTTCACGGTTAAGGGAGAGTGACCTAGTAGCGACCAGTGAAGAGGCGGGGCCAGGAGCTTGGACTCAACCCCTGCAACCTCAACTGAGTATACACACTCGGGACCATGAGCTGTGAATCGACCCCTGTAAACACATATATGTGAGTTCATGTATATGTCCGTTTATTCCTGCATTATAACTGCATACCTCAATCACATCTGTTGCTTATACATGTTGACATAAATTCAAAGAGTCTATTGGCTCTATTCTGAGATATTTAGGTACTGCTATCTTGGCTTCAAATTTCTGTTAAGTGGGATTTCTCACATCTCCTATGATCAAGACCTTATTCATTTTATGGATGCCAGAATAATTTTCACTTCCATGGATTAGGATTTTGCATTCCCTCCCCCTCCCGACCACAACATTAAACTTTTCAAGCGATTTTGAAGTTCGTATGACATTTCCCGAGTTTATTATTAGTTTTTTTTTTTTGTCTGCAGCTTTTATTTACAGCGTCTTTTGTTTCCTCCACAAGATGAGTAATGTAGATTATGACAATAACTCACTGTGAGCAGCGCTCGGTTATTCTGAATGAATAGCAATAGACATCATCGTAGAGGTGGGCTGCTCTGCAAGTTCATTGTAGATTATGAACAAACAAAATAAGGATACCAAAACACGTCTTATCGTTTTTTAATGGCCCTTATTCTTTAACCAGGTAAATGTGTAACAAGCAGTTTCAAAACACATGACCTAACCTCCTGCATTGTGAGAGAGAGAGAGAGAGAGAGAGAGAGAGAGAGAGAGAGAGAGAGAGAGGCGGTGGTGAGGATGGGGAAAAACAACAGGTGGATGTTCTCAGAGAGTTTTCTCGCTGCGTAGTAATGACAGCGGTAGCTGAGATATAACGATTCTCGCTAATTTGCGTCAGCTTAATTAAGCTTAGACAGGATTGTTTATTCTTCTTTCTTATTTTTCTGCTTTAATCTGCGTCAGCTTAAGCTTAGACAGCATTAGTTACAGTCCTATGGCAAGGGCACGAAGACAGTAATAATAATACACAGTAATAACAGTAATAATCAATCAACCAGACAATAAACTATGTAGTCCTCAACTGTTCATAAATGCGTAATCATCTAACTTACCCAAGACGTAATAATTATTTCATCATC